CCTACTAATTAGTCCTAAACGCCTTCTGAGGTCCCAACTCTTCTCACTATTTCTTAGTTGTTGGAATGGACGGAAAACCTCATAAGCAGTTCCTTACTTCACCTCTGCCTTGCATGTGGACTTCTGAGCTGTAAAACAAGCCAGTGGCAGATGGAATTTGGTCCAGGACTTAAGAACAATAAAGGACATATTTGAGCCTCTAAAAAAAAGAAAAGAAAAATGTGTCTGAGAGTTTATTTTAAGCTAAAACTTTTTAGTGTTAACAAAAGCATTTAATATTTTATTTCCTGATTTCTGGTACCAAGGATGTTAATTGTGGATCCAAACAGATGAAGCTATTGATAGTTTCAATCTCCTCTCCATCCATCATGAAGTTGCCTATAGGTCCAATGGTAAGAATCTTTGTTTTCTTGACATTGAGAAGTAATCTACATTGAAGGCTGCATTCTTCAATCTTCTAGAACAAGTACTTCAAGCCCTCCTCACTTTAAGCAAGCAAGGTTGTACCATTTGCATAACACAGATTATTGATGAGTCTCCCTCCAATCCTGATGCCACACTCCTCTTCATAGAGTCCGGCTTCTCATATAATTTGCTCAGCATACATATTGAAGAATTATGGAGAGAGAATACAACCCTGACACATTCCCTTCTCAATTTTAAACCATGCAGTGTTTTCCTGCTCTGTGCACACAACAGCCTCCTGGTCCAGGTATAGGTTCCACATGAACACAATTAAGTGGTCTGAGATTCTCATTCTTTCCATTGTCAACTGTTGTTATGATCCACACAGTCTATGACTTTGCATAGTCAGGAAGTATGAGGATGGCACAGGATAGAACAAGGTTCAGATCTTTCGTTCAGAGCATCCGACGAGTCGTATTCAACTTAATAGTACCTAACAACAACAACAAATACTGTATCAGGTAAAAAAACAGCTTAACCATCTTTGTTTGGTTCTGTTAGAATTGGCTTCTCTTTTTAAGTCTTGAACATCATAAAACTGGTTCTTTGAAACTGCAGTTTAGTTTATTGTGCATTTTTTAAAAATATAGTATAACTTGATATACTTCTTATTTCTGAAACTACTATATATGTGACCATTAACTTTATCTGACTTTGATATTTGCTTTTTTTAAAAAAAAAAAAAAAAGAGGATCTTTCAAGTTTAATTACCAAGGCAATAACCAACTGTATATCGTCATGGAATGATAATGCATTAAACATTCTCCAAGTAATGAACAAATTTACTTCCATCCAGCATCACCCAAAAATACCAAAAACCCACAAAAATAATCGCTTTTATTTGGCCATGAAGTCCTTGGAATCACAGTAGGGCTTGATGCCATATTGGTGTCACACTCTGCCAGTCATCCAAAGAACATGCCAGCCTTCTTTTTCAACTTCTTTGTCTACTAGTGCATCACTGGACCCAGCAGGCAACTCACACAGACAATTTCAGTAATGGGTTTTGGCTTTCTGTGCATAATAGGTGAAAATCCTTATGAAGTATCCAGTTTACGTTACAGCTGAGAGATCTGAACCTGCTGCAGATGTCACATCTAAATTCTTGAATGGATTTTTATCATCAGTGTCACCTCCTTCTCCTCCTCCTCCTCCTTGTCTCTCCCTCCTCTGATTTTTTTGTTGTTGTTGTTAAGTGCCATCAAGTTGTAGACAATTTATAGCAACCCTATGAATGAAAGTCTTCAACACTTGTGTGACTTTCATCCTTTCTCCAGGTTCATAGGATTTCTGGAAGCAAGCTCTTTACGAAAGTGGATGCCACTCCTGCTTTCGAGCTTGTTTTAATTGGGAAGCTCCACCCCACACCGTCCTCCATGGGT